CTCGCCCTGTATAGATTCGCCTTTAGGTCAGTACTATTGGCCGTGATTAAGTCGCCTCTGTCCCGCCGTCTTTGGTCAAAAACGATTTCAACGGGGGATAATCCCGTCGCTGCGTGTATCGTGTTATTATATGCGATCACTGCGCGCAGCGTAGCGTCGTATGGGTCAAGATTTCGTCCCAATTTGAATAACCTGAGGTGTTCCCCTAAAGTGTTATGTAGTCGTTCCACAATGCCTCTACCTTTAATATGATGCAGAGTGTTCAACCGCCACGTGATACCCAACGTTTTGCTTTCGTTCCGAATTAGTGAATTATCAAATTCTCTTCCGCAATCCGATACGATATCGTCGGGTACTCCGTACGTCGCACACCATTGTAATACTCCCTCCGATATTGCCCTAGGTGTTTTCACTTCGATGGGGTAGGCCATTGCGATTTTGCTGAACGTATCTATCGCCGTTTACCACGATTGCCCTTCATTTGAATAGATATCAATTTGTATTGATCGCAGAGGCTCAGTCGCGGTGGGTGTAGCTACCTGCTGTGCTACCGGGGGTTGGCGATCATACTTTGCTTGCTGGCATACTTCGCACTGCGTAATACACTCACGTACGGTTCGGCCCATATTCTTCCAGTAGTATAGTAATTTTAACGCACGCAGTGTCTCTTCTATTCCCCTATGGTTCGTTTTTTCCATGTGATGTTCAGTAACAAGTTTTAATTGCGCCGATGGATCGGCGATCGTCTCCACTTGCCTTAAACATCGAATTAAAGGATACCCCATTCCTACCCTTTCCTGCCTCCACAACCTCTTTAGTTTGTCCACGATTGTCCGATTTCCTAAATACACGTAACAGTTGCGGCCAGGTTTGCTGAATTCCGCGAAGATTCGTTCCGGTTCGGCTTCGTCTATTGATGTAGGCGTACGGACTATTATAGTTTCCAAACCCTCATACACGCTCATCCGCGTTTCCGTCCCAGAATCCTGCTTTGACTTAATGATTATCTGAAGTTTCTTATCATTGACAATCTCATCTATTTCAGGTAGTTCCTGGGCTCTATCCGTCGAGATGACGTTTTCCTCCGATTCACTGTCAACAGGTGAGCCTTCGGGCTCTCTTTGCGTCCATTCTCGCGATCTTAGTGCTAACGGTTCGACGGAAGTATTTTCTTCCTCGATTGCATTCACTATTAAATCTCGTGATAACCAATCTGCCACAACATTTTCGACTCCTTTTTTATGCACCGTATTGAAGTTATATGCTGCGAGACGTTCTGTCCATCGCGATACCCATGCTGACGATTCTTTAAGTGTACCTAAGTATATTAGAGGTTTGTGGTCAGTTAACAACTCGAACCGTCTCCCGTATACATATGGACGAAAATGTTCTACCGCCCACACTACTGCTAGAAGTTCTCGTTCTATAGCGCTGTATCGTCTTTCAGCATCGTTTAGTTTCCTGCCCGCGTATGCTATGGGTTTTTCACCTTCTTCAAAATTCTGTGATAGGACCGCCCCTATGCTACCTCCCGATAGCTACCTCACTTGCATCCGTGCTAATTTTGAATATTCTATTAAAATCAGGAAATGCTAACAACATTCTCGTGGTAAGAATCTCTCTGCATTTCTTGATACTTGCTAAATGTTCAGGGCTTAGTTGAAATCGTTTTCCTTTTTTCAAAATTTCGGTTAATGGGTGTGTCGATTCCGCTATACCAGGAATGAATTTTCTGTAGTAATTTATCATTCCCAAAAAACCGCCTGACCCCTCGAACGTTTTTAGGTAATGGTGCTTCTCGGATGGCTTGTACGCGCTCCTGATCTGGTTGCACCCCTCTCCTTTAGACTATGTGGCCCAAAAAACGATTTTCGCGTAAACCGAATTCAGATTTTTTGCGGGATAATTTAAGTCCAAATTCACGTAACCTGTTAAAGACTTGTCGCAGGTGGTTAACATGTTCCTCTTCAGATTTACTAAAGACAATTAAATCGTCCATGTACACCTGGGAAAAGTCTTCGCCCAGTCCCCTCTGTAGCTCATCCATGAGGCGCTGGAAGGTTAGTGGGGCCCCCTTTAACCCAAAAGGCATCCGAACAAATTCAAAGTTGCCTCGCTCCCATGAGATTGCCGTCTTCTCTACATCATCCTCGGCCATTTTAACTTGGTGATACCCGCTCTTGAGATCTATCGTACTGAAAACGGTTGGACCCGAAAGGCGAGTATGTCTTCGACCCGTGGTAGGGGGTAACGCTCGTCCTTTGTTGCCTCGTTTAACTTGCGGTAATCTACTACCACTCGATACTGTTTAGCCCTTTGGCCCTGCCCACCTTGCTTCTTCTCGACTACCCATAATGGACTATTAAATGGAGAGTTACTGGGTCTGATTATGGCCACAGGCTTCTACCATTTTTTCAGTAAGTCTGTTATATGCAATAAGCAGTTTTTCAGCAAATTCACCCTCGGATTGCCCTTGACTCCTTCGTTCCTTAAGCAAATAATATACATCCTCTTCCGGGGTCCATGTTCCTCCGCCATATAATTTCTTTAGCCTTACTTTCAGCGTGTCCCAGGAGTGTGTCAAATCGCCTTGAATGCCATTTAAAACCCGCCTCGATATACGACCAATTAGAGACGTCTCGAGAAGACTCACGTCGGAATCCAGTAGTGTACCCTCTTCTCTTCACACTATCAGATTCTTTATCTGATCACCTCCCTTGATGAAATGGTCAAGATCGCCTATTACTCCGGTAAAAGGTTCTAGTTGACTAATTACTTCATGGATAAACGCTGAATTCTGCGTTCGTATCTTCAATAGTTCTAGCTGCATAGTGTCTGTCGCCTTGGTCAGCTCAGATTCTAACTTCGAGTGTTTTACCGCCGCCTGAGCCAGTTCATATTCAAGTTTTGCAAGTTTTTCTTCTCCCATAATTATGTACCGTATAGCTTTAGATTTTGAGATCACTAACTACTTAAATGCACTTGACTATACCTCAGAAATCTGTGAGGTTCGGCACCAGTTATGATTCGACTGAAGAAATAACAAAACAGCTTGTGGGAAGTGGCTTTATTTCGAACTCTTATATAAGTTTTCTACACTTTATATTAATACAACACTTTTGTAACCTCACGTTTTTGTTATCTATTAATTCTCTATTTTAACATATGTTTTTAAACAATTATTTAGACTATCTTAAGAATAATCTTATAAATATCCTATATACAGTTAACTTATATATATATATATATATATATATATTTATGGTGAAATACTTAATTTGTGTTCAAAAACTTTCCTCACACATATTTCTGAAATTATTTGTTTTATTTTCCTTTCTTGTTACCAAAGATAGAAAAGCTTTTTATTTGCACAGAAAAAAACAACAAATATTTGTACTCATTATAAAAAAATTTACATTTTGATTAACGTTTTATACATTGAGGTACAAATTTGATTGTGTGTCTGTCTGTAGTCCAATCTATGTGACAGAAATATCATGTTTTGTTAATATGACTTCCATGAAATTTTCTGAGATTGTGTGGGCCAATATCTAGATAGTTTCATATAGATATCATCAAATTCCATCCACTACTTTCGCATACACCCACAGTATATTTTCTTTTACACACCTTTATTTCAAAAATGGCTGGTTTGATTTTGATCAAAGTTAGAAAAACACTGGAGATTAGTGAAAGAACGACGCTGTATCAATTTTATCAAATTCCATGCTTCCTCTTATATATGTATAAATTTATAAACGTATAAACTTATTTTATAAATTTCCCTCAACGTTAAAAATTGAAATTTTAAATATTTCTTACACGTTGCACATCTAGAATAGAGGAACATAATTAAAAAAATCTTAGGTCAGAATTTCTATAGGTTAGATATTAGCCAGGCCTCAAATATCAGACCAAATCAATAGAAATAATGTGTGTCATCTATTAGCAATACATTTCAAGTGAATGCCCTATACAGTTGGACGCTATTACAACTTATAAAGGTACATTTTTCAAGATACAAGGTCCTCACCGTATTCAAGATGTGTCATGTGAGGATCACTTGTATACTTTGTTCTTTAGAGGTTCACTATTAAAGAAGTATTAAAAAAAAATGATTTAAACTGAATGAATCCTAATATAGTATCATGTAATATAATTTGGCAAAGAAAGGAAGGAATACTGGTAATTTTTCAAAGGAATATTGGTAATTTTTCAACTTATCATCAATTCAGATAATTGCAGCATCCTATTGATCTCCCAATAAGATTAGTTGCATCTTCTTTAGATCTTAGAAACTACTACTTAGAAATATGCTCTTTTGACCCTATTATTTAAGAGTAGAAAGCGTTCCATATACTCTAGCATCTATTGTATACCACTGTATTGACAGACACACTGCAAAGGCTATAATTTCAAAAAATAAAATTATTCATAAGATGAAATAAACCGTGTTTTTCTTATTGTATGACCATGAATTTTTGTTCATACCTTACTCCTTGTCTGTCATACCTTTTTTAGTTTGTATTTCTGAATGGACGAGAAAAGCTCAATATTACACATCTTTTGCAGTATAGGACTTCAATCGAATCTTGAGGCAACATAGGAAAAAAAAAAAAATTCCACATCTTAATTAAATTGTTCATACAGTTTCTTGCAGTGTTGATGTCGATATGTAATCTATGTTCAAATAAGAAATATTTTTTGAGTTGTGCCGCTTTAATCCTGGATGTGTGTCATAAACAAAAAAAATATCTCTTTATCATGATTTCTATAAATCCCTTTTTTAAATCAACTTTCTGAAGTTTACACATAGTTCTCATTCTAGCATCTAAATAGTAAAAACTTCCAGCAAAACACTATTTTAATTGATGTGTAAATGCATTGTGTTCTTATTTAATTCTGTTAAGATTTATAAAGCTATATATGTATTTCATAATATAAAGTACCAATGAAATTTTTTAAAATATTAAATAAAAACAATTCTTTATTTTTTTCAGTTGATTTAAGCTCTTGGCAGGAAAAAATTTCTGAAGAAATGACTGTTGAAAATGAAATTGGTGAAGACGAAGTAGAAATTGGTGAAACTGTTAATGTAAGTGTAAATTTCTTTTCTTTGTATTTTGAATCACTTGTTTTGTTATGACAAAGATCTGAAATACTGTAGTTGAATACAAATGTAAACCTGATAGGGGAGAATTGATTTGTTAATAACAAATTGATTATTTAAACTGGATGAATTCTAAGACATATGATGGTATAATTTAATGTAGTTTGGTAGAAGAAGGAAGGAATATTGATAATTCTTCACCTTTCCCTCAATTCGGGTAATAGCAACATCTTATCGGTATCTCAAATGAAAATCTTATAATCTTATAAAGCTGTTGCTCAGCAATTTTATACTGGCTTCAAAATCTCCAGAAATATAAATCGATGCATAACTCAACCCAAGTTGCAATAAAGTTAGATATACCTAATCTTAAAAAGAAGGTAATGAATGTAAGTGAAATGCTTCAATGAGACAAAAGTTTAACATTTAATTTCAGATTTTTATTGACAAAAATCAAATTTTTTAAAATTAAAATTCAGTGAAATTTTCTGAAGGACTCTTAATAAGTAGGAAATTTCACTTTATTTCAATTTTTACGTGCAAACGTATTATTTTAGATATGCGAATAAGTTAAAAACAGCTCATTCAATTTGGCTCAAAGTTGGATAAAAGGGAAAATATTGGTAAAAATATAATGAAGTTTTAATTTTATGGAATTCAGTCCACTCTCTTATATACACACAAACGTATATAAGAGAAACATATATAATTTTTCCTAATACATCTATATCTCTAAATCCTTTCATTCGGTTTGGCTCAAATTTGGAGGGTAGTTAGGGATTGGTGAACAGATGATCAAGTATGTATCAATTTTATAAAATTCTATCAACTACTTAAAAAAAATTATTTTTCTTTCAAATCAGAAAATGTATTATTTGACACGCCTATAGTTTGAAAACGGCTCATTCAATTAGACCCAGACTTGGAGGAAATTTGGAGAATAGAAAAGAAATTTCATAATATTCTAAGTTTTATTTAAAAAGTTAATTTATATTGTATTGTTTAATTGAATCCAAATGTTACTAGCATTTACACTTACTGATGTTACTTAGATTTTGTGTAATTTTCAGTAAATTTAAATTAATTTTTTCTCTGCGTTTGTAAAAAAAAAGTGTTATTTATGATTGTGTTTATTTCTATTCAAATTTAACCAGCTCGTCGTGGTCTCGATTTCCTTCTTAAAGATTAAAGTTGTGTGAACTTCACTCATATTTTTATATTCCAGCTTAAATTAGTTTGGTTCTGACTGAAGGAAAATATTGGTCGAATATAAAAATTTTCAAAATTATTCTATTTGTGCTATAGGTGACATTTTGTTGTCAGGAACTGATATAGGTACACTGTTTATGTTTTTGTGTTTTTATCTGTTTTTTTGTGTTTTTATCTTATTTATTTTTATCACTGTTTATGTTTTTTATCTCGCTACTAAAAATATTATGCTGCTTTGATTGTATTGATCTCATAGGCGTATGCATAATTTTATTGTTTAATATCACTTGTTCATAGTCTTAAAAAGTAATATATTGTTTTAACGATGGCACTTTTACACCCTTAGCACTCTTCTTTACACCATCTTCCATCATAACAGCATACATTATGGCTCTTGACTCAACATATTTTGGAACTATTTTGGAATTTAATTCATCTTTAAACTTTCCTAACTTTTTTTTATTTTCATCTGAGAAACAGAAATGAGTTTTAAGATAATCAGAGAAATCAAAATACTGATGCATTTTTTTCATATCTTCAAAGACATCAACTGTTAAAACTTTATAAATAAGCTAATCTGTATCTGTATACATCATCTTTAAGTTATTATTGAAATATGTTTGCAACATTGTATCATAATGAAATTGATACATCACAGTTTTGGATATCAAATCAGCGAATTTTGAAGGGTCATTGTATTTCTGAAAACTGCTTCTCCCGGATATTTTATTCACATACGAAAAATTATAGACCTTGAAATATAGATGTTATTTAGCTAATGAAAACGGTGAGAAAGTTAAATTGACCTTACTTGGCAGACGTTTTTCATTTGTAATTTCAAATCAATTGATTAAAGATGTTTACTATTAATATTAGAAAATTATAATTGTTTCCGCTTTCTTTCTTTCTTTTTTTTTCAGTTAAAATATCAAGATACCAGCTACAGAATTCATAAAATGTATGAAGCAGGAGTTTTAACAATTGGTTGCATTGGTCAGCCAAATGTTGGAAAGTCTTCTCTTATGAATGCACTGATGGGAAAAAAAGTAATCTCATTGTTATATTTATGATATCTGATCGTATTATTTAGTGTTACTTTTACCATGAATTTAAAACTATAATTTAATTAATTAATTCCATTATAGGTTGTTAGTGTTTCTCGAACTCCTGGACACACAAAACACTTTCAAACTATCTTTTTAACTGACACTGTGAGGCTGTGTGATTGTCCAGGATTGGTATTTCCTTCAAAAGTCCCTAAGTCCTTGCAGGTAGGTTTAACATTATTTATTTTTTGTAGTTTGTTTTTGTTCAGGTAACCAAATCTTATATTTTTAGTTTGTCCCTGTTCAGACTCAATATTACATTTTTCTGGCGATTTTAATTGATAAAAATAACAACCAAATTTAGCAATTCATTGATTATTGTTATGAATCTTTTGTAATTTAAATTACTATTTTAAAATACAGTCCTTACCTGAGACCTTTCATTTAACACAAACTACGTGGTACATTTTATCATGTACTAGTACATGGTGAAATTAAACTGATTTTTATATAAATCAAGTATTATAAAAAAAAAATTTGAAGTTATACTCCAATGATGTCCTCTCTTCCTCACTGTAATGTTGATTGTTCATTCTACAGTATTAATTCCAAATTTTACTGTTAAAGGTCTTGATGGGAAGTTTTCCAATTGCTCAGCTGAGTAATCCATATACTTGTATTAGATTCCTGTCTGAACGAGTTGATTTAGTGTCTCTTCTCAAGTTACAACATCCAGAAAAAGATGACCAGTGGTCTGCCATGGACGTTTGCGATGGTATTTCATTATTTATGAGGTTTACTCTGGTAGTACTAATTTTAAATTTATACTAATAGCTTTGTAAAGTAGTATTTAAAAATATTAAGGTATTATGGCTGAACAATGACATTTTCCTTAACTAACAGTTATCTACCTTTACTTACTTGAGAGTTTGTGCTATAGCAGTGGTATGTCAGCCAAAACAGCATTACATCAAATAATCTGTGATTTGAATAAACTGAGCAACTTTTTCGTATGAGTAATAACCAACCTAGAAAAATTCATCATTGATACTTTTTTTTTTTTTTTTTGGCTTTAAGACTTGTAAAAGCAAGTCCTGTTTTGCCAGCAAAATATTTTGTTTGTCATAGTGAGATGAAATTACGGTTTTTAGACGGAAATTACACTGGATTTATATTAATTATTTACAGTTAGATGATAACTGAAAGTGACTTATATGGGACTTGGATATTAGATATTATATTATTAGATATTAGATATTATGGAAACTAGCAAGACTAATGGTTAAAAACTGAGATGAATTAGAATTGCAATTAACTAAGTGCTGACTTTTATTATATGACTGCTTTGATGTCATTCATGAACTTTAACAAGTCACGAGCGTTATCTTTGTTCATCGACCGAAGAAAGTTAGCTCCATCATCCATAGTTTGCGACCCTAAACTAATTCTTCTCCGCTTTTCGAACCTTTTGCACTTGAAGGCAATGTGTCTTGGATCCTCCAAGCATTGGCATGTTGGGCATTGACTGCTCTCAGCTAGCCCCATTAGATGAAGATATTTATTTGTTCTACCGTGGTTTATCCTAAGCCTGGTCAGCTTTACTAAGCTGGAGCGGTCGAGATGAGATTTAAGGATCGCAAACCATGGAATCAGTGCTATCTTCTGTTGAACTGCATGATGGTCCTTACCCTTCGAGGCACATTCCCAGTCTTTCATTATTTTCCCCCTCACTACTTTTATCAAATCAAGTAAAGGGACCTTCGCGTTTATTCGGTGTAGTTGGTTTTGATTTGCCGTTTTATCTGCAATTTCATTTCCTGATATTCCTACGTGTCCCGGCACCCACTGAAAAAAGTAATTGTTGCTGGAGTTATGTATCAGAGATATAATTTTAAAGGAAATGTGTGTCAGTGCTTTGGTATTTTGGTAGATTAATTTTAGGTGTTTACATGCCGTTGCGGAGTCTGTCAGAATAACTATTTTTTGGTTGATATATGTGTTTTCGCTGTATATTATGGCGTTAAGAATGGCATATAGTTCGGCACTGAAAATACTGAAATCAACTGGAATTGATAGTGAAAATTTCTGGTTCTTTTGGGGATCATACACAGCTACAGAAGTTCGGTTACTTGTTTTTGATGCATCTGTATAAATTTGTAGATAATTTGGGTAGAGGTCAATGATTGTGTTTAGTGCTAATTGTTTCAAATAAATTGGTGGGTATGAACTTTTCTTCCCTAATTTACCAGTTAGATTAGAGGAGCTGTGAATATTAATTAAAGATTTGGGAATGGGCGATGTGTATTCTAGAGGTGCTTCCGAAATGTGTAGTAATTTAATAAGAGGCTGCAATTCGTTAATAATGAAAGATAGTTGGGGACAGAACACGTTTCCACTTCTAATTTCTTTACCTACAGGATGATTATTGTTCGGAATACACTTTGAGCATGTATTTTTTCGTTAACCATGACCTTCTGATGTGTAATGGCATCTCTCCGGCTGAGGCCTGAAGCGCGTTTACTGGAGAAGTTTTAAAAGCACCCAAACATAACCTTATGGCACAGTTTTGTGTTGTATTCAACTTATTAATGAGGGGGGATTTAGTTTGATTGTATACGACACAACAATAATCGAAGTTAGATCTTACTAATGTTTTGTAGAGAGTGAGCATGTTTTGTGGGTGAGAACCCCACGTTACTCCAGCTAAAGATTTTAGTATGTTTAAGTTTTGCAGCGACTGTGTGTGAATATTTTTTATATGCGTTTCGAAATTTAATTTAGTGTCTAATGTTACGCCTAAAAACTTTAAGTGTTCTTCGCTTTTAACTGTGTATTTTTTATTTGAAATCTCAAAATCTTTGAAGTTAATTGTTCTTTTTCTAGTAAAAGGAGTAATGCTGCATTTGTTAGGATTAATTTTTAGGTCTATTATTGAAAATGCTTGTGTTAGGTTGTCCAATGCTGAGCTGATTATGTCTTTCCCTTCTTCTGCAGATTTCACTACAGTATAAATTAAAAAGTCATCTGCAAATTGAATGATTTTACACTTGTCAATTGTATTGTTGGTGATATGTTCCGTGTAAAGATTGAAGAGAGTTGGACTCAAAGTATCTCCTTGAGGGAGACCACTGTAGGTTTCATAAGATACTCGACCTTCCCAAGTGTCCAGAAAATATGTTCGATGAGTTAAGTAATTTATTATCCAGTGAGTTTGTTTCGTAGGGATGTGCAGATTTTTTAATTTAGATAGCAAGATTTGTATTTTTACATGGTCATATGCTTTATCAATATCAATGGTTAATGCCACAAGGATCTTTCTTTCTCTGAAAGCTTTGTAGATATCATTGATTAGAATCAAGATTGCATCAGTGGTTGACCTGTTTTTCCTAAAACCAAAACAGAGAGGACTCAAGATATTTATTGATTCTATAAACCATTCTAATCTCGTTTTGACAATTTTGTTGAAAACTTTTGCTAAGCATGAGATGAAAGCAATAGGGCGGTATGAAGTGATCTGAAGTGCATCTTTACCAGGCTTTAATATTGGGAATATGAGTATATTTCGGCAGTCCGGAGGACCCTTGGCATTCTCCCAAATTTGATTATAAGCAGAAAGCAATCTCTCTTTCATCGAAGCTGGTAAGAGTTTGATTATTTGGTAATTGATTTCGTCCACACCAGGGGCGGATCCAAATTTCCCTTTCAATGCCGCTTCCAGCTCTGTTAACTGGAAGGGTGAATCTAAATGGTGGACAATATGTACATTAGAACCGCGAAGCAATGGTTGTCTGGGCACAAAGATGTTCGACAATTGTTCGAGAAAGCCTATTGCATGTGTTCGGTTACTTAACACCATATTTTGCATGTAAATTCGCTTACCACGTAAGGTTTTAATTTTGTTCCACATAGAGCCGGTTTGTTTTGGGGTGATGCTTTCGATGTAGTTTCTCCAAGTCTCGCTTTTGGCCTATCTAATAAGTGATTTAGTCTTATTTATTTTCGTTCTCATGATTTTGTAGTTTTCTATTGTCATATTCTTTAAGTATTCTTTTATTGCTATCTTCTTTTCCCCATACGACTTGCGAATGTCTTCATTCCACCAGCACTTCGAGATAAATTTTGGATGGTATTCCGAACACTTCCGAGGAATAGCTGATTCTCCTGCTTGGTTAATAATGTTAGTCAAGTCTGATATATTGTATTTTATATTAGGTTTCTCCATTTCCAGGAGGTAATCTGTAAATATTTTTTCATTTAATCTTTTGAAATTTCTTTTAGAATTGAATTTGTGTTGCCTCTTGATTCTGCAGTTGTTTACTTCGATTATTATTTGTAAGTGGTCACTCCCTAGCATTCCTGGACTTACAATCCAGGTGAGGTTATGATAGAGATCGGCTGTAACAAATGTTAGATCTATAACAGAAGGTCTTGATAGAGAGTTACCTAATTTAGTGATTATTCCTGTTTCATTTAATAGGATTAGAGGACTGTTTTGTAAAGCCAGAATTAAGTCATCTCCTCTGGTAGTATCATATTCTTGAGCACCAAAAAATGAGGAGTGCGTGTTAAAATCTCCTCCCAAGAGCACACTGCAATTTGGAAATTTGACGTGCAGGTCAAAAAGATTTTCAAGGTTTCAAAGTGATGGCCGTCTTCTGTTGTCTGGTGGGATATATACTGAAACTATGATGATGGAAGGTATTGTGTTAAGAAGTTTTACCCCTACTGCCTCAATTGTTCCCAGATTTGGTAAGTCTATGATTTCATAAAGTAAAGAAGTATGGAGAAAGATGCCCACTCCTCCGTACCTGTTTTTACTATGTTGTAATTCTGTGCACGGTAAGTCCGTTTATTATCAAACCATGTTTCATGTAGTAGAGCTATAAGGATGATGTTTATGTTAAGAAAATTAATAATTTCTGAGAATTTATTATTTATACTTCGACAATTATGTTGAAGAATTTTTATGTTTTTATCTATCATATTAATTCTACTGTTTGACATTATAAGGAGTTAAGTTAAGAGATAGCAGGCCGTCTTTTTTTATTATTTGTCGAGCTATTGAAATCATTGCAGGAATGAGTATCCCAGAAACAATATCACGCTGTATATTGTACACGGGCTTGAGTGAAATCGTGTATTTCTGTACGGTGGGAGTATTCATGTCGAAATGATGGGAAAAACCAACTAAAAAAATAAAGTAAATATGAATTAATGAGAAGAAAACATAATTTTTAGGGTTAATAGTGTTCCACCAACACGTCTTTGTCGTCTCGTGTAATAACCAGAAGGCAGGACGTGTCAGTCTGAAGATATTAACATAATTTACAAATATAGCATTTTTAAAATCTTGTAAAATTATCATTGAGTTCAATATAAATTGTATCACCTGTAGTGATAGGAAAAAACTGAAGTATTGATATACATGTTTAAAAACCATGCTTGGAATATAATTGTGTAAATATTTATATTTATTTGTTAGATTGTAGATAAAATAAGCTGAATTATCCAAGGGGCTTGGTTTGGTGCTTATTCAACAGACATGTCAGCAGTTGTTTGTAACTCTGTAATTGATTTTATTATTGAATTGTTTTCCTGGACGAAATTGTAAAAAGTTTGTCCTATTATATTCAATGTTTCCTGTTCATTGTCAATTGTTTTAATTTTATTTATTAATGAATTTAACATATTAATATATTTAGAGTCAGCGCTAACTCGATGGGGGTTATTTGTGATTAGAGGGGAGGTTATTGTTGGTGTTTTACGTGGAGGTTCCACAGCGTTCGTGTTTTGAAAATCTATTGGGTTGTTGTTCAGCCTCTGACGTTTCAAATTGTCTGGATTATATTTTAAAAATTGTTTTTTCCTGGGTTTCTTGTAATGGCAGTATTATAATGGTAAAAATTATTTTCGGCAGAATCATTATTTAACGATAATTGAGGAAAATCTAGTGCGGAAAATTTATTGTAAATGGAAACCGGAAATAAATTATTCGCTTCCTTGTAGCTAAGCGGTTTGACGGCCATAGCCTCCTTTATTTTCCTTTGTCGAATTGCTTCTGGGCATTCCTTATCTGTTGGAAGGTGAGCGTTTTTGCAATGTATGCATTTGATCGCGGTCACGCATGCCTCTGCGGTATGTTCATTAGAGCCACATTTCATACATCTTCCTTTTCCTCTGCATTTTTCTTTGGTGTGACCATATCTTAAACATTGTTCACAAAGGAGGGGCTCAAAAATATATGGGTAAACTTTTCTTGGGGCTAAGTTAAGGGCAATGCTGTCAGGGAGTTGCTGAGTGTGAAAAACAATTTGGATGGTGCCCGTAGCTATAGTAGTTACAGTATCGTCGGAATTTTTAATTTTTCTATTGAAACGGCAAATTTTGACTATTTTTTCGGTTGATTGAATTTCACTCAGAATTTCTTCTTCAGATAGAGATGGGTGTACGTCTCTAATTATTCCATATTTTAAAACGTATGAGTTCGGTATAAATGCTTTTAGTTTATTAGATTCAAGAAATTGATTTTCTAAAAATCGGTTGGCATATTCATAAGTTTTAAAAATAACTTCAATTTGTTTATTTTTCTTTTTAATAGAAAAAACGTGAGAGTTATTTAAGCCTAGAGTTTTTCCAATTTTCATATCATGAAAGCCTGCTATGTTTTCATCAGTCGATTTTTCAACTAAAACAATGAAGGGGCCTTTAATGTTCTGCAAGTATTTATGTTGATTTTTTCCATTATGTACTACCGGTGAGGTTAATGGTTTATCAGGGGGCTCAGTTCCCACGCTACTTTCCCCCATGATCACAAATAAGTGTGATATTAGTTGATAATTTTAAGTAATAAGAAAATAATATAATTTAAAGAGAAAATAAAATAGATAAATCTGGCCTGAATGTAGCTAGCCGCAGGCTTCTGAGAAGTTGGGCCTGTCCACAACGGCCTATTATCCTCGCACTAAAAGGATACCGCCACTTCAAACAGATAAACCGCGATGTTAACACTACCACTGTTCGAGGAAAACTGATCATTGATACTTGAACATATTGTATTTTGAATTTCACAATTTTAAACAAACTTAAATAAGTTGAATTTAAAGATAAGCACTAAAAGAAAGAGGAAAGAGTCGCTTTTTTAGTGTAAGGTTCCATTATGCACAAGTATAGCCAACTTGAATTGTTTACAGGTTGTTTTGATGAGGCATAACATTTAAGATGCACTTTAGGTTAAATATGCTTTTAAGAAATGTAAAAAAAATAATGGAACTTTATTATTACAGTATGATGCATTATAATTAACTTTCTAGTCTTAATTAATGGGATATTTTTTTATTCACGTATACAATAAATTTTTCTAATTCTTTTGACATTTGATTTTCATTGGTGTCAATATAGAACTGGTGTTTTTAATTGTATTTATACATTATATCATTGACACATGCAAATTTTCATTTATTTAATTTTTTTTTGTATGCATACAAAGAAAAGAAAAGACTCAGTAGAAATATAAAATAGTCACAAAATTTAATATGGCGAGACGTCAAAACAATGGGCTATATATTGTTCAGATTTGTTTATAACCTTTCATGAAACTGACTTTTTTTTAAATCTCTAAACAAACAATAGTAAGCTTTTAAAAAGTTTATGATATCCTACTTCAGGTACCTCTGATATGACAATAGGTTTTTTTTTTAGCTTTAATGTTTTATTCACACCTGTCATAATGATAATGACAACCAGTATATGTGAGATGGATTGCTAAATATAATGTCATGAAAGGCATGAGGAGGATCAGTGCCCAGCGGCACCTCACTCGGGACAGAATAGGTTGGTAACCTGAAAGAGGACCTAGCTTTTCTGCCTTTGTTGGATTATATTAAGTAACTGAAAAAACTATAACAAAACCACTACAGATTAAATTATAATAATATAATCAAAACAAAACCATCATCCATAATAGTGCCATAAATTTATTATTGACAGGTTGGGCATTGAAGAGAGGATTTTACACTGCTAGAGCTGCTCGGCTGGATACCTACAGAGCTGCTAATCATCTTCTGAGATTGGCATTGGATGGCAAAATTCCATTTTGTATGAGGCCTCCTGATTACACTAAGACTGAAGGTATGAGCTTTTTATGGTCTGTTTTCTTGAACTTCATTAGTTTATTTTAGTATTAAAAGCATTATTATTATAATTTGTTTTTCATTTTTATTTTATCAAAACTTTAATGGGAATGGAACTTGGTTTATGAGAGAAATAGGTCTTGGGAAAAAAAATATGGAAGAAGATCTTAGAAAATCTGCTTTTATGAAAAAAAATAACAGTGTATACTCTACCGGACCAAAAAAAGTGCACACTGAAATGTAGACAATTTTATTATTGAATATTTTGCTTTGTTGTGGAGTAAGAATAAATTCAACATAACTGTTATATATATATATATATATATATATATACACTGACAGGCCAATTCCACCCACTTGATTTTTTCATGTTTTCATCTAAAAATATTTCTGCTTTGGATTGGTCTATTGCTTTTTAATGAATAAATAGGTAATCTTTTTGTTTGTTTTCAATTAGGAATGTTAATATAGAGGACAATAACCCTTAATCCTTAATTCAATGAAATGATTCTAGATTCCAATGTTTACTTTCTATGGAATCAAAATGTTTATTCAGTATTATTAGTTCAGTGCCGTTTCTTGCACATTTCTTAGTCTTAGGGAGAGGGAGAGGGTGAGAGAGAGGGTGAGGGAGAGGGAGAAGGAGTGGGAGAGGGAGCTTATAGATAAATAAAGTTACCAACACTTTCAATTTATATTATTTGCAGTCTTAAGACCTAAAATAATAGTGCAATTTCTACCCTCAAACTATTCCATCACTTCCGCCATCTTCTACCCCAAAATACCCGTAGACTCATAGTTTCCTCTCTCATCTTTCCCCACTTTGACTACAGCTGTGTGGTGTACGATGGCCTCTCGGTGGAACTGCGTGATAGACTCAAAAGACTTATGAATTGCTTCGTAAGATTTGTAATTGGAACCCCGAGACGCTCCCGTGTCTCCCACCACTACACTGAGTTAGGGTGGCTCTTCCCCTCCTTAAGAAGACAATATTTCCTTGGCACTTTCCTTTATCAAATCATTACCGATCATCGTCCTTCTTATGCCTACAACCTTCTCCAATTTAAGTCCTCAATCCATTCACTCACTACAAGATCCCGACCTTCTGACCTATACATCCCTTCTCATAGATCTGCCTCATTCCAAAATTCCTTTATAGCCCGCTCTGTCAACTTTTGGAATTCCCTCCCGATCAAAATTCGACATGCCCCTTACCTGTATACATTCAAAAACCTCCTATTCCAATTCCTGTTCCAAAAACAGTCTGATACCAGCTAACTATTGATATTATATATGTATTGTGTAGCAATCATATAATCATAACACTTGGTAAGAGATAGTACATGCATTTCCTACTATCGACGTAGGAATTTCAATACATACATTTTTTTTTATATTTTTTTTTTTTATTCAATTATAAGTAACTGTTTATTTTTATATATATATTCAAGTAAAGTTTTTTTGTTTTTTTTTATGAAATGAACTCATTGTATCTCTTTTTCGTTCTCAAAGTGTATGTTTATGTTGTTCAACCCTTAAATATAATTTTGTTCATAGTTCAAGTGATTCGTTCATAGTTTTAATTGTTTTGTTCGTAATTTTAAATGCTCTGTACATAGTTTTACCTGTTTGTATATAGCTTGTGCACCTAAGGTTTTCTTTACTTTTTATTTTATTTTATCAATTTTATTTATTGTTTCAACGTTCAGGCCAGTAATATTCTATTATTTTGTACATTTTTGTTATTCTGAAGGGACTTAGTCCCAGAATAAAGTTTTTTTTTTCTATTCTATTCTATTCTATTCTATATCTGTGAAACTATGCGTTATATATATAATAGTATGGCATGTGAAATTAAAGTTGACAAAATTTTCAATAGAAATAGTTATATTAGTTTATTCGCTATATTCTATAGTTTCCATGATATTCGTCCTCCTAATTCACTAATTTAAAGAAAAAAAATTGTTTCATCACATTTTTATCATTATTTGGCTCGCGAACTCTTAATCTTTTTATTTTTTGAAAATGTTGTGAGGAAGAAAATTGTTTAATATTAAATTTTGTTAAGAATATATATTACTTTACTATCTTATCTTCAACAATTCAAAAGCAATTATAATTTAATGATTAAACTTCGAAACTATACAGAAAAACTTTTTCTCATCAGGCCTGTTGATGTGATCAATTTATAAGAACCAAGCTTAGTATGAAATATGACACCTTTTGCCACGGGATCCCAGACTATTATAAGAGCATGTACAAACCTGAAACGTCTCAGTTTTTTAATTTTTTTTATTTGGGTCCACCCCTTCAATGCCAATGAGGCTATATGAAGCTTTTCCTGGGTGGAAGGTGGGGAGTTTAAAACTCCCCCGGCACCTGGACGCGAACTCGTTATTATTTTATCATGTAAACTTGAGTTTATAAGGTTGCTGGGAAACGTGTGTTTTGCACAGGTTTAGCCAGCTCTCTCACGTCCAATCAATGAATACCTGAAAAAGGGGGACTCAATTTTTGACTTTGGGACATTGTTTGGATTAGTGAAGAGGTAAGCATACTAAAAGTCCCCACTCTTACGTGGTGAGCCATGTGTGGGTGGGGAGAGGGGAAGAGGAGGAGAGAGGAGGGCCTAGATGGTCACTTTTTTCGGGTTTTCGTTTTTATCAGGAAAATTATCTATCACATCGACAAAGAAGTTCCATACAAAATTAAACTATTATAAATTAAATGCAATATGATTAATTATCTACTATTTTTCCCTATCTCGCTTAGTTTCCGAGACATCCGTCCTCAATTATTGCTAATATGTAAAAAAAAAATTTACCTCATGTTTCTTACTGTATTTGACTAGCTAACTCTTGACTGCTTCGTTCTACGATTAAGTCTTGGCAAAGAAAGTTTTTAACAACAACAGTCAAGAGTTAGTTAGTCAAATACAGTAAAAAACATGAGGTAAATTATATATATATATATATATATATATATATATATATATATATATATATATATAAATAAAAGTTATATAACTTTATATGTCAATTCCGAGAATTTTGCAGTAAAAATTAATTTGTATATATTATTCGTTATTATATTGCTTTAACTCTCTGTACATCTAAATCTCTTTCACTCTCTCACTCTCTCTATATATATAACCTGTACCACTACAACCCATGAAGGGTCTTGGGTTCAGTACTATTTTGGGAAAGCACTGTTTCTAGGTCAACGGTTGTGCCAGGAGGCGATTTGATCGAGATAACGCTCAACCGCCAGGTTTTCTCCCTTAATTATTTAATTAAGGGTACCCACTTTACTGAGGCTAGTTGTGCCCCAGGAGGGTCTCCTGGTGGGGAATCCAATCAAGATGGCTTTTATCTTCTCGCTGTTTAGAGTGAGCCTATTGGGGACTGCTCAAAGCAATTATTCTGTTAATATCTTTCTCGAGTTTTAGTATGGCACTATAGGAAGCGGTAAGATTGAAGGACAGGTAAATTTGGACGTTGTCGTCATGTAGGTGTGGTAGGTGGTATAGGTGGCATAAGTAACCACTGATCTTAATTAAAGAAGAAAGCGATGTTCACGTGCACAAATCTTTTAAAAAAATCTTTATATTTCCTTGTAAAAAAAAAAACTACTAACTATACTCATTAGAAAATTAAGAGTTGATATATTAAAGGATAAGTTATTAACATGGGTGATCCATTTATTCACTACGATGAATTCCAGAAATATTTCCTTGACAATTTTTATCACATAATAGCAGTATTTGAAACCTGACTAAAACCTTTTATCCTATCCTCCCAGATTACTCGTTCCTACGACACGACAGATCTCATTGCACTGGAGGTGGTGTCAGATTATATATCCATGACAGTCTTAAGGCCAAAATCCTTCTGCAGTCTTCTTATCATGATTTTCCTCAAATAGAATACATGTTCGTTGAAATTTCCTCTCTTTCCCCTCCTCTGTTGCATGCCGTAGTTTATCGCCCTCCTTGTGTTCCATTTGACAACCTCTTTGAATCTTCCCTTATTAACTTTTTTTCCAACTGCACCAACATTATCATCACCAGTGATTTTAACGTGAACATGCTTTCACAATCTCCCGAAAAATACTTCCTTACCAACCTGTTGTTTTCCTTACATATATACACTTATATACCTTCATCTTGTTCCTTGTTCTCCTACACACCACACACAATTTTCTGATACTTGGTTAGATCTCTGACTCTCCCATCAAAATCCTTTCCTCTTCTCAACATCCACTTACATTTCATTCATTACATGACCTGATCCAAATTATATACGACCTACCTGTGAAATCCTTCACTCCCAAAATAGTTTCATACCGCAATTTAAATATTCTCCCCCTCTGAATCCCTTCAACCAGACCTTAATTCTGTCCAATGGGACACCATATATTCCTACAACTCCATTGAACCTATGTTATCCAACCCTGACCTGAAACCTACAATCCATATTAGATATTCATGCTTCTCTGAAAACCAAAACCGTCCCACTGCATCTTGACTGACCAGTGAGATAAAGGAAATGATGAAGGGAAGAGATGCAGCAAGGTGCAAATACCGTCGAACACGTCTACCTGTGGATTATGGACTCCAAATCTAAATGGAAAATACTCTGTAACCTATCCCTACCAATCCAAATTGGTCTGTGGGCCAGACCCCCTTACTGTGCACCTCTCCCCCCCACATCCCTATAAATTGCATATAGTTGTGTTCCTTGTAACTATTTATTAAAAATGTTCCCAATGTTCCCACAAAAAAAAGTGAACGCACTGCTCCAAAATGGCGGATTGACGACTTTGACTTTAGTTAGTTTTTTGGTCACTGAGAATCAGCATTTGGCTTAATTTCCTCATAGTAGGTCTTTTATTAAAGCTGAATAGTCAAAGAATAATAAAACATGAAGAAATATTAAAAAATAATTGGTTTAGGCTATGAAAAACACCAGTAAAGTCAATTTTTTTAACAAAAAAATT